ACAAGATAAAATGTAAAGACCAGATAAAAGAAGACTATTATGAGGTGGTGGAATCCCTGAGGTATTACAACAGAGGAAAGCCTATGAAACACCCAAAACACGAACTATTACCTTCAGAATTTCCAAAATGGGCAAAGAATGCTTAAGGATGACTGCCATAGGCAGGGCACAAAGGACGCACAAAGGATATGATCCTCTGGATTTATTAGAACTGAAAACATATAACTTCAGGCTGGGAATGTGGCTTAGTGTGGAATATTTGTCTAGCATTCATGAAACCCTGAGTTCAATTCCTCAGTACCACATAAAACAGAAAAATCCAGAAGTGGTACTGTGTCCCAAGTGGTAGAGCACTAGCCTTGAACACAGAGAAAGCTCAGAGAAAGCTCAGAGAAAATAGGCCCCGAGTTCAAGCCCCAGGACTGGCAAAACAAAACAACAAACAAAAAAAAAAAACCCACATAGTTGCCACCACTTCCCCCCTTCTTCCTTTATCTTTCGTTCTTTCCATCTTTCTCTTTCTTTCTTTCTTTCCCTTCCTTTCTTCCCCTCCCCCTCCTTCTCCTCCCTCCCCCTCTTTCTCCTTTGAAAGGGTGGCTACTTAAAATACTTCTCTTCGTCCCCCTTAACAGTGTCTTATTATGTAGTCCAGACTGGGTTTAAATTTATAAACTTCCTGAGACTAATGAAGTATACCAACACAATAGTACTCTCATGATATTTAACAAATTACCAATTGGATAATAAGGTTAAATAAATACAAAAACAACTTCCTTTTATCTCATTTAAAAAAAAAAAAAAGCAGGCTGGGCCCTGGTGGCTCACACTTGTAATCTTAGATACTCAGTCCTGAAAATGGTCATATCAGGTGTAGCTAGCTCACTCCTATAATCCTAGCTATTCAGGAGGCTGAGATCTAAGGATCAAGGTTCAAAGCCAGCCAAGGCAGGAAAGTCCATGAGAATCTTATCTCCAATAAATCACCAGAAAACCAGAAGTAGCGCTGTGGCTCAAGTGGTAGAGTGCTTACCTTTTGCTTAAAAGCTGAGGGAAAGCACCCAGGCCCAGAGTTTAAACCCCACGGCTGACCAAAAACAAACAAACAAAAAAACAGTGTCCCATTTTCCTTTTTATTTTTTTTTATTTTTGCAGTACTTTATCGCTGGAGCCACAATTCTGCTTCTAGCTTTTTGGTGGTTAATTGAAGATAAGAGTCTCATAGGCTTTCCTCCCTGGGCTGCATGATCCTCAGATATCAGCCTCCTGAGTAGCTAGGATTACAGGAGTGAGCCACCTACACCTGACATGACCATTTTCAGGACTGAGTTTACAGTAGTTCCACAGGATGTCAGAAGCCAACTACAGAACGAGCTTTACAGTCAGACATGGTACAAGTTCTAGCTCTGTAGTGTTTACTGTTATACATCCTAATCAACCTGTTATACAGTTTATAAAGCAGAGATATTCATAGTTCTTACCTCATAGTATAGCTCCAACACAACCAGAATCCAGGGTATTGCCAAGCCTGGGTTCTCTTAAAAGCTTCTCAGGTGATTCTGATGGCAGCCAGGTCTGAAAATCTGTTATAGTACTTAACCACTGAACCTGGCATAACTAATAGGACCAACTGACTACAGGAACACACTGAGATGCTAAAGGGGTGTGTGTGTGTGTGTCGGTCATGGGGCTTGAACTCTGGGCCTGAGCACTGTCCCTCAGCCCTCAGCTCAAGGCAAGTGCTCTGTCCCTCAGCCCTCAGCTCAAGGCAAGTGCTCTACCACTTGAGCTACAGTGCCACTTCTGGTTTTCTGAATGGTTTATTGGAGATAAGAGTCTCATAGAGAGCCAGGCGCCGGTGGCTCACGCCTGTAATCCTAGCTACTCAGGAGGCTGAGATCTGAGGATCGCGGTTCAAAGCCGGCCCGGACAGGAAAGTTTGTGAGACTGCTAGAAAACCGGAAGTGGTGCTGTGGCTCAAGTGGTAGAGCGCTTGCCTTGAGCTGAAGAGCACAAGAGCAGCGCCCAAGCCCAGAGTTCAAGCCCCACGACCGACAAAAAAAAAAAGAAAATAAAAGAGTCTCACAGAGTTTCCTGCCCTGGCTGGCTTTGAACCGTGATCCTCAGATCTCAGCCTCCTGAGTAGCTAGGATTACAGGCGTGAGCCACCTACACCTGGCTTAAAGGGTGATTTTTTTTATAGGGTCCAAAAATGTTGATAACCCTTCCTGGAAACATGAATGGAAACTACCTTTGAAGATGTTGACCAAAATAACCACTGGAGAATAGTATCCATTAGTTAGATGTACAACACATAGCAACGAAGTGAATAATATTTACATCTGAACATGTCACAATAAAACACACTGTTCTACAGAAGTAACAGATGCTATAAAAATTAGCTGCATATGTCTATTGCAGGAAGCATCATTATGTATGTATGCTGTAGCCAGCTTACAGATAGTATAATCCAGGGTTGGAAGATTAAACAGAATCAGCAATGGCTCATAAAGTCAATTTTGAGAGGTGAAAAAAAGTTATTCACATAATTTAAATATACATAATTATGTAAATACATCAGGTGTAAATCTATGGTCAAGACAATCATCAATGGATTTAATGACAATTTTTATGACTCATGTCATTATTTAGTGGACTATCTAAATAGCAAAACTTCTAAAGCCATTAGATTATTGGTAACTATTTTGCTGCAAGATCATAATTACAAGTAAACATTTCTTTTACACGTACATTATTTTTAAGTATAGCATTATTAGGTCTGGAGACTTAGCTCAAGTAGTGGAAGTGCCTGTCTAGCAAGCACGAGGCCATAAATTCAAACTCCAGTATCACCAAAATAATAATAGTAAAAAACTTGTGTAATCATTATCATCATTATTTGATGGTTTTGGGAATTGAAGTTAAGGCCTTACGCTGTGGAGGTCTACCACTTGCGCCATGTTCCCAGCCTCTTTCAGCCTTGGTTATTTTTGAGGCAGGATCTCACTTTATGTCTAGATTTGACTCAGCTGAGATCGTCCAGTTTGTGCTTCCCTGTGTCACTAGGGATAACAGGCGTGTGCCACTGCATCTGGCCATTGTGCTTTCCTTGTAGTTGGGATAAGAAGCCTGCACCCAGATATCAAGTAAAATGGAATTGTAAATTTGTTTGAGTCATCTCACTTGACTGAACTGTGTCATTATTATTTTGTTCCTGCTTTTTTTGGGGGGGGGGTGCTGGGACTCAAACTCAAGGCCTCATGCATGCTAGAAAAATATTCTACTGTGAAGACATACCACCCAATTCCTTTTTAAAAAAGAAATATTATTATTCACTTTTCTATATTGTTTGTAATTTATTAGATTTTTATATTTTCAAAGCTTCTCCGACAGAAATAATAACTCAAACTTAAGAGTCTCAGTGAACTTCTGCTAAAGCAGTGAGGTTCTGGTACTTGCTGTCAGTGTAAAACACAAGCCTTGGGCTGGGAAGGTGGCTCAGTGGTAGAGCTCTTGCCTTGCATGCATGAGGCCCTGGGTTTGATTCCTCAGCACCACATAAGCAAAAAGAAAAAAGCCAGAAGTGGCGTTGTGGCTCAAGTGGTACAGCGCTAGCCTTGAGCTGAAGAGCTGAGGGACAGCGCCCAGGTCCAGAGTTCAGGCCCCACGACTGGACCACCCCCCACCACCAAAAAAAAATAAAAAAAATAAAACACAAGCCTCTACCCTCACAGCTAGCTAACCACCCAGGCATCTGGCCAGCTGGTCTAACCCTCTCCAACAAATGGTCCAGGAATCAGTGATTCATCTCTTCAAATATTTGCTTGCATTTGGTTATTAAGCACATCGGTTACAGAGAGAACTTTCTTTTCCATGAAAAAAGGACTTCAGGATTATACTTTCAAGGGAGAAATTTCTTCAGTGCATAACCATAAGGAAGAAAAAACTAACACTGGGCACAAAATTACTATTGCTGGAATCTTCACCTCATCATTCCAAGTAGCATTATAGGATGTAGTACTTTTTCCCAATCTCCACCTTCACCCCACCCAAGGCTAAACCAAACAGCACAGATGGCAGCCATATATCATTGATTTTCTGGAAAATGTTTTCAGATTTTCCCTCAGACAGCAAGTATGTTACAATAGCACCTGATGTCATATTTACTGCCTCACCACTATTTTATTATGAACAATTTCAATCATACAGTAAAATTAAAATTCACTATGAACAGTAAACATCTACACGTAAGTCACCTAGAGCCTGCCATTAATATTATATTTGCTTATTTTTATTATATCTATTCATCTCCATTATCAATGTATATAATTTTCATTGCATTTCAAAGTAAACTACTGGCTTTAGTGTGCCTTCCCAAAATAACTCAGCATATCTATCACTAGCTAGACCTCAATGATTTTCATATAGTGAAATGTGCAAATCTTAAAGCTTATATATTCTGAGTTTTCTCAAATGCACACATCTGTATCTTCAAAACCTATGAAATTAGGGAACTTATCCAGAAACATATCTGCTTTGAAACTACCATGCAGGCCACCCCACAGACTGTAATTTCCTTATTGAAGATTAAAAATAGAAGGAGGAAAACATGGAAATCAAGAGGACTGATTATTTGATACTATAATATGTCAACAGGAAATATAGACATATTTCAAGAGTACATTTGCTAGTTGAAACAGGTGTTTCTGTATACTGGCTCTAAAGAATCTGGCATTTTGTTCATGGAGGAGAGAAAGGAAACACTGAATGAAATACAGTCAGCCCTCCATATCCACAGGTTCTGAATTTACAGGTTCACTAGCTATAAATTAAAAATATTTGAAAAAAATCCAAAAATTATGACTGAAACTCCTTTGACAACTACATAAAGATAATTTTAAAAACAACAATGTGTACTGAACACGTACAGATTTATTTTTGATCATTATTCTCTTAAAAAATATAGTATAAGCTGGGCCAGTGGCTCTTGCCTATAATCCTACCTACTCAGGAGGCTGAGATCTAAGGATTATGGTTCAAAGCTAGCCTGGGCAGGAAAGTCCGTGAAACTCTTACCTCCAATAAACTACTCAGAAAAAGTCAGAAGTGGCACTGTGGCTCAAGTGGTAGAACATTAGCCTTATATAAAAGAAGCTTAGGGACAGAGCCTAAACCCAGAGTTCAAGTCCTAGGACCAGCAAACTCCCTGCCCCCCAAAAACCTCCCAATATACAGCATTTGCATTTCATTAATTAGTAGTAATTTAGACATAGTGTAAAGAAGAGGGAAAATGTGCACAGTTTATATATAAATATTGCACCATTTTACATAAGGGACTCAAGCATGGTAGATTGTGCTATCTGCAGTTTTTGGAACCAATCCTTTTGGAATACTGAGGATGGAATTTCTCCCCCATACAAAAAGGAAAGAGCCTTTGCACCTGGTGTTCAAAATGACCTATTTGCTATAACATTAAGCCCAGGAGGTTTAAATTACATATGATACTATTATCCTCTGAGTTGTAACCTTCATGAAGTCTAGGAGAAGCACAGGAGGATTCTGATACTTTCTTACTCACTGAAGTTGGTTTAAGAAAAAAAAATATGCCTTTGGGACTAAAGTGTGGCTTAAAGTATAGGGTGCCTACAAGGCCCTGAGTTCAAGCCCTAGCATCCTAAGAAAGTAGACTTTTGAAGGGACTTTCATTTTTCTGGGGGGCAGGGAGAAAGGTTCCCTGAGAGCTTTTAAATTGTAGCAGTGGTCAAAAACTTATATTGTGGCCGAAAAAAAGTACAAAACACATTCTTTACCTGAAACAGTACAAAGGAGAAAGAACAAATCATTTTATCATTCAAAAAAAGTATTGAAAAAGGAACATTTAGGGCTGGGAAATATGACACAGTAGTAGAGTACTTGCCTAGCTAGCACAAGACCCTGACTTAAAAATTCCAGAACTGCCAATGATTAAAAAAATAAAAAATTTAGGGCTGGGATAGAACAAGGAATTTCCAGAAACAAATGAGAGAGAAAGGGGAGGGGGGAGAGGAGGGAGGAGGAGGAGGAGAAGAAGAAGAAGGAGAAGGAGAAGGAGAAGGAGAAGGAGAAGGAGAAGGAAAAGAAGAAGGAGAAGGAGAAGGAGAAGGAGAAGAAGAAGAGAGAAGTAGTAAATAATTCCTGGTAAAGTCTCAAGGATTGAAAAATCTGCCTTGGCCCCAAAAAGGAAATCCAAGGAAGAACTGAGGTAAGTGTTAATGACATCTGCAGTCAAGGGAGAAAAACAAATGTTAATATTACACACTACTTGAGTTTTCCTCCCCAGGAGATCAAATAACATGAAGTCATATAGTTGTATTATACAAATACTCGAAAATGTGAAGGATAAAGATTTTTCTACTGAAAACTTTATTCTATTAAGAAAAGCAAACAAGATTTGTTTAAATGTTCTAAAAACGACCAAGTACATACTCTACTGGGTATCTGTTAAGACCTAATAGTAGTCAATAAAAGATTTTAAGTAAATGTATTCTAAAATATGTAAACAAAGAAAAGTGTCCCTAAGCTGGGCGCCATTGGCCGAACTTGTAATCCTAGCTACTAAGGAGGCTGAGATCTGAGAATCACGGTTCAAAGCCAGCCAAGGCAGGAAAGCTCAGTGAGACTCTTATCTTCAATTAACCATCAGAAAACCAGAAGTGACTCTGTGGCTCAAGTGGTAGAGCACTCACCTTGAGCTGAAGAGCTGAGGGACAGAGCTTAGGCACCGAGTACAAGCCCCACCACCCACCAAAAAAAAAAAAAAAAAAAAAAGTGTCCCCAGAACATTTACCGCTTAAAACACCTAAGATGTTACCATTGGATGGGAAAAAAAGATAGATGGGTAGATATTGCAAAAAGGAAAAGCTTTTGGCAAAGTTGGGGGTTCAGGAAGAGGGAAGCAATGGACAATACACAACTCCCTAACCAAAGCCTGGAGATAAATACATGAAGCACACTTGGAGACCTCTGGCCTCAACCAACTTTTTGGGGATTAAAGGATTGAGTAACGTAAGTTTCTCAGAACAAGCAAGTTTTTAGATGACCATATAAATTAGTATTGATAAAAGGGAAATAGAGGACTTATATTTGCATCACAACACCTTCACTTATTAGTGTGCATGCCAAACTATAGTGGCAGAAATATCCTCATTCACATAATGAAAGATTTGCCAAAAGCTCATAAGTCAAATTGAAACAAAGCTGAATTTAAACAGTCAAAGTCTTATAAAAAAAAAAAAAAAGCAAGGAATCACAATATGAAGAATTATAATGGAAAACCAAGATTATCTTAAGACAATATGGACGATGGACCCTAAACTAAGCACCCACCCTTAATATTTCAGGAATATCCCTATTCCATACATCTCTGGTGCCAAGTTTCCTAAAATAAGTGCCTAGGAAAGAAAGCATTACATAGCCAGTAAATTCTAATCGCTGGCTTTGGATAACCAAATAATAATTAATAATTAATAACCAATTATTAATCTATAATAATTCATTTGATACTTTATTAATAAGCAGCTCTTAGGCATACGTGCATATGAATAACTATGAAGCAGTAAGCAACTAAGAAAAAATGAGCTATATTTCTCATGAGGAGGGGTGGGAGTCAAAGCCTTATTTTAAGAATCACTGCATTAAGGAACAAAGGAGATGAAACTTGATTCTTCAGTAGGTAGAAGAGGTAGGAAAAACTAACACTGAAACTAGGTGTTAAATTGTGAGGTAGGGGCTGGGAAGGTGGCTCAGTGTTAGAGTGCTTGCCTTGCATGCATGAGGCCCTGGGTTCGATTCCTCAGCACCACATAAGCAGAAAAAGCTGGAAGTGGTGCTGTGGCTCAAGTGGTAGAGCACTAGCCTTGAGCTGAAGAGCTGAGGGACAGTGCCCAGGCCCAGAGTTCAGGCACCACGACTGGCAAATAAAAAATAAAAATAAAAAAATAAATTGTGAGGTAATAATATACTTGCTGAGTAAGGAATTCAAACCTTCTATCTGATGTATATAGGATCCCCAAAATTACTCCTGGAAAATTGCAATTTCAAGTAGCAAGAAAGCTACATACTGAGTTTAATCCTTAACAAACTTAAGGGGTGCATCCATTCTTGCTATTTCAAAAATTTTCTTAGTTCTTCCAAAGCTTAGAAACAGAAAAAAAGGAATATTCTCTTAGAGCCCACTAGTGTTTACAAGATAACTTTACCTGTTTTAACCTTGTATGTAACACATATTTATCTGCAGTTACTGCTTTTACATAGAAAACCAGCAACCACTAACCTTTTAGGATGGATGAGAGAAAAACATGACACATTTGTAGTTATAGTTATAAATGTTGGCAGGAAAACTATTTAAAAATGCTTTTCTTTATAGCTGAAAGAATAGCTAGTATGGCTGGGTACCAGTGGCTCACACCTTTAAACCTAGCTACTCTGGAGGCTGATATCTGAGGATGACAGTTCCTAGCCAGTCCAAGCAGAAAAGTCCCTATGAGACTCTTATCTCCAATAAACCACTCAAAAACTGTAAGTGCCACTGTGGCTCAAGTGGTAGAGTGCTAGCCTTGAGCACAAAGAGGCTCAGGGACAATACCCAGACCCTGAGTTCAAGCCCTGCAACCAACAAATAACTAGTGCAAAGGGAAAATAATCATTCTTTTGCACTTGAAAAGTTGTAGAGGTTGTAAAGGTTTTTTTCTAAAGATGGTGGTCCAAGTTTTGGCATCCACTACTTCTTGACTATTCTGTTTTTCAATTTTTATAATTTGAATACTAGAATAAAACTATCTAAATTCAATGGCAAATGCCTTAAAAATGCCAAAAGCTTGAAGAGAAACTAAATCCATAGCTTACTGTACTCAAGTAACCTTTTTTGTCAGTAGTGGGGCTTGGAACTCTGAGCCTGGGTGATGTTCCTAGCTCTTCAGCTCTTACACTCTACCACTTGAGCCACCATGACCCTTCCAGTTCTCTGGTGGTTTATTGGAGATAAGAGTCTCATGGACTTTCCTGCCCAGGCTGGCTTTGAACCATGATCCTCAGATCTCAGCCTCCTTACTAGCTAGGATTATAGGCGTGAGCCACTGGCGCCCAGTCCCAAGTAACTCTTGAACTAGATCTCTGGTTCTATTGTGATTCTCATTTGGGGCACTGTTTGACTTTCCGCTTTTAGATCCTTATAATGCTTATATTCTACTTTATAAGGACCTTGTTCCAAAATACAGATTATTATCTTTGAGAATTCCTAATAACTTCTCTAAGCTACATAAGTTCTGTGGTGTCAGAGAAAGTTGTATTTTCAAAGATGTAAAGTAATTTCCCACTTCCTTATAATAAGTTATTTCATTACTATAGAAAAGATAAACAATCTTTGATAGGCTGAATTAAGCTAATGAGTTGAAACAGATTGCTGAAAATGTACTTCAGAAATGCACAACAATTTCGCTCATTAAATTCTTAAAACACTTCAGAATTATTGTTTTCTTCCCTATTCTGTACAGAATAAAACATTATTAGACAAAGTACTTAATTTTTGTTTTCCCTAGATCTGACTAATTGAAGTTATTTTGCTGACAAAGCAGAAAAAGTCCACATATTATGCTGGAACATATAAGCTATAATCAATAGCTTAAAAATATAATTGAGAACAGACAAAAAAATAAAAGGAATGGGCTAGGAAGGTGGCTCAGTGGTAGAGTGCTTGCCTTGCATGCATGAGGCCCTGGGTTCAATTCCTCAGCACTACATAAGCAGAAAAAGTGGGAAGGGGTGGGTGCTGTGGATCAAGTGGTAGAGTGCTAGCATTGAGCTGAAGAGCTGAGGGACAGCACCCAGACCTAGTGAGGCCCCACAACCAGAAGAAAAAAAAAAAGGAAGGACTTGTAAAAACAGCACAAAGCAGGACACAGACATTAAGTAGTAGGTCAGGATATTGTATCCTGGGAAATCAGGAAGCTGACAAAATCACCACAGTAATAAAAAAAATCCATAGACTATAAGAGTATAAAAGCAGGAAATTCAGATCAGTGTTTTAAAAATTCCACTTCAAAATCACAAATTTCCCAATCTTGAGAAAACCAGCTCTAAACTGTCACTAAACACTAGTGAAATAGCAGAGATGTATTTTGTAATCTGATAATTAAGGGCATCATCTCAGTAAATACAAACTCTATGTAAGGTAAACAATTAAGAGAACCCTTGAAGAAATTTAAAAGCATCTACCTAGGGCAAGCACATAAGGAATATATACTCATAGAGGGAAGAAGTTCATGCATGAACCATGATGCTCACTACCTGGTGATAATTCAAAAGATACGAATGGATGGAGATGTGTGTGTGTGTGTGTGTGTGTGTGTGTGTGTGTGTGTGTGTGTGTGTGTGTGTGTGTGTGTGTGTGTGTGTGTGTGTGTGTGTGTGTGTGTGTGTGTGTGTGTGTGTGTGTGTGTGTGTTGTGTTGACAATTCTGAGAAGGCAAATACTTGAAGGCAAATTTCAGCTGAGAAAAACTTCCTGAAAGAAAAGATTATAATATAGTATTTACTCCCTACCAGCACCATCACAGGTTCAAAGTAAATTAAAACTCAAGAGAAGAAAAACTGGAAATCCCTGCCCCCATGGAAGCAGAGTTTGAAATCTCCCGTTTAGATTGTAAAAGGACCTAAGAAACTGCAAATCTGGAAGCGTTCAGGCCAATATGGCTCCCAGTGTTCTATAGGTGATCAACGACAGTATTATTGCTAATCTCTTTCATCTACATAATGCTTTAGAGTTCAGTGGTTTCATTCCGATTCCTCAACAGCAAGCCCGTTTGGTAATACAATTACAACATCTTACTTTCTCATCACTACAGACTGTAGTTTGTACTTTCACACACCGAGTTAGCTAGTTTATAGAAAGAAGTCGAGAGGGTTAATTAACAACAGCTGATGGTAGGTGAGGAGCTCGGAAAACTTCAGGATTAGACTTCATCAATAGTAGACAAGTTGCAACCTCTTAAAGTTCGAAGTACACCACTCCTGGGGAAGCAACCTCGGAAGGCTAGCCCACTTACTTAGGAGCTCAGAGTCTCCGTGGATCAGCAGTGCCCTCTCGTTCTCTAATAGGAGGGAAATCGAGGCAAACTGCAGGGCCGAAAGTCTAACCCGGAGGCAAGTAAGGATGTTTGTTGGTGGGATGGCCTGCCCCCGCCCCACCCTGGCCCTAAGCCCAGAAGCAGCTGGATCCTGTGTCTGGGACACCTGGTTGGTCTCCGGAGGGAGGAAAGGACCTGGCCATTCTCATTTCCTTTCACCGCCTTCCCACTCGCGCTTTCCAGTGGATGGGGCTGTGTTCTTCCCCCAACAGCCCCGGTTCCTCTCCGCCAGGCGTTCCGCTCGGGCCTCCGGAGTAGGAGAATCCGCTAGGTCTGGCTCCCACCCCTTAGCCGCTCTCAGGGTCACGTCTCCCGACCCCCAAGTCATTTCTAAATCTCCCTGAGGAGCAGGTCCGTCGCCCACCTAAGCCACCAACTCCACAAAGGGAAATCCTCCCGAAGCGTTCTCCCGTCCGTCCCTTCCGTCCCGGGAAGCTCCTCTCAATTAGGAGCCTCCCCGGAGATACCTGCCTCTCACCTGAGCCCCGTTAGCCGAAGCCTCCTCTGAAGGGTGACCCCAAGAACCTCCTCCAGTCAGGACCCCCCCCTTCCCCCGAGGGGGAACACCCTCTTCCAGGAAGCTCTTCAGACAGCTTCAGCGCGGGCCTTGGTGGAGAGCTTCCCGGCGGTTTCCCGGGCTCGGCCCGGCGCCGCCCGCTCCCAGGCGCCGTCCGGGAGCCGCCAGGGGCCCAGTCCGGTCTCTCCGCCCCCCAGTTCCAGCGGCGGTTCCCCTCCCTCACGGACGCCCCAAGCCCTCGGTCTTCCCCCCCTACCGCGTCTCCACAGGGCTTCCCACAGCAGCGCGGTCTGGCTGCGGCACCGACTTTCTCTAGCTCCCGGGCCCACCGGAGGGAGGGGACAGCGGCAGCTGTGCGTCTCCTTTGTGACAGGTCCAAGAGAGCGGTAAAGATGGACGCGAGGCCACGGCGCTGCCATTACGCGCAGGGCCCACCCCCGCTTCGTACCGCCCCGGCCCTCCCTCAGTCCCCTAGGAAACGCCCATTCCTCTGTGGCAAACCCTCCCCTCTCACAGCCAATCAACTTTCAAGAGTCGTGTCACATGACCCCGCGGACCGGCCCGCCCTTTAGGCGTGAACTGGCCAATTATCTTGGCTGAAAGGCGAATGGCCCAATCAAGTTTCTCCGGCTCAGTTTGGGGGCACCGGATTTCCATCGCGCTCTCGGAGAGGAAGAGAGCTGTGGATTGGGTTTCGCCGCCGGAAGCGGGGTGGAACTTTGTTGTGGCGGTGAGGAACAGGAAGCCCGAAGGGTCAAAAGAAATTCTAAAGCAAAGGCTTATCTTCTTTTCTTTCCCCCTCTTTTTCTTTCTGTGTTTTTTTTTTTGGTCTTTCTTCGTTTTTCTTTTTAACGAACGAGTGGCGATTTGGGGTGGGCGCCAGCAAGGTGAGGGACTCTCGCTCTGGTAGGTGAGTGCGGCCTGGGTCCTGGACCTGCGGTGAAACCTGGACTTGTTCGCTGAGGAGATGAACTGTGGCTAGGGTTAGGGTTAGGGCCAGGCGTGTTTTCCGTCCTTGCACGCCTCCGTCTCCCGACAGTTTCTGGGACCCAGTTTGAGCGCCGCCGCCGGAGCCCGCGGGAAGGCTCGGGGTCGTGGTGGTGGGAGGTTCCCTGGTCCGCTTTCTCCACCCTTGGCCTAGGTCGGGCCATCCTGCCCAACTCCGATATAATCGTGAGAGGTGGGGGACGCCTAGTTGGATGGACATGGTCGAATCCCAGAATGTAATTGAAACACATTTTAGTAGGTAATACGTGCCAGTTGCTCTGCTTAAGTGCATTTTCTTTTAGTAGAAAACCAAGCTAGTGTGTCGGGTTTTCGGAACGCTTAGATGAACTGAGAGTTGAGGGGGAACTCGTTTGAGAATTGGTGTCCTTGGAAATCTCAGTCCACGCTGTTGGGAAAAGGGGAGACGTGTTTGATCATAGCAGCAGCTCTTAAACATTAGTAGATGGAGACAAGATTTTCTGTGCCCTTCTATTTTTAAATGAGGGTTTTCCTATCCCCACACACAGAGGATTCTCCTCTCCCCACCCTCAGGTAATGAGTGGGTCCAGAATGGAATTCTGGAAGCCAAATGGGAATCTATCTGTTAGAATTCCCAGTGACTTCTTGTGTAGCAGCTGTGAAATGAGTTATGTTTATTTGCCTTTTTTTTTTTTTTTTTTTTGTCGGTTGTGGGCCCAGAACTCTGGGCTTGGGCGCTGTCTCTCAGTTCTTCAGCTCAAGGCTAGCGCTCTACTACTTGAGCCACAGCACCACTTCTGGCATTTTCTGCTTATGTGGTGCTGAGGAATCGAACCCAGGCCCTCATGTATGCAAGACAAGCACCATTGAACGACCTTCCCAGCCCCAGTTATTTGCTTTTTGATGTGTCTACATGAAATGATTTGGAGATCACCGCTTCCCAAATCTTTGAATCAGTTTGGACACTTTTCGTTGAAGCCAGGAATTGAGTTAAAGGCAGCTTTCTTTCTATTTTAAGTAGAGCTTGAAATGACATGTGAAGGTCTTGTAGAAGAAGTCTGAAAGTAGAGATTTATGCTTGTTTTATCTTTCCCAACAACACTCTTAATGCCTTTGCCCTGAGGGACGTTTATCACTGTTTTAAGAAAGGAAAGTTGTGTGCAGACTTCTACCTTGTTATCAATCTTTTACCTTCTAAAATTAATGTTTGGTTAGAGTCAAGCTGCTGCTTCAGCAATGGAAAACCACCTACCTAGTAGAAGATAATTTTAAGTGCATGGTTCTGGCCTGTAATTTAGCTTCTCAGGAGGCTGAAATCTGGAGGATCATGATTTGAAGCCAGCTGGGGCAGAAAAGTGTGTGAAACTCCAATCAACTCCAATCAGAATGCATGAGACGTGGCTCAAGGTAGAGCTGCAGCCATGAGCAAAAAAGCTGAGCTATAGGGCAAGGCCCTGAATTCAGGCTCCGCAAATGGGGACACACATACAAAATAAGTTCATGGTTCAGCAATAGGCTCAATAATAGTATAATATACCTTTGGGACAGCTAAATTAAGCCTTTTGATTCATCACTTTTTTGTGTGTGTGTGTGCCAGTCCTGGGCCTGGGCCCTGTCCCTGAGCTTCTTTTGCTGAAGGCTATTGCTGTACTAGTTGAGCCACAGCTCCACTTCTAGCATTGTGTGTGTGTGTGTGATTAATTAGAGATGAGTCTCAGTGACTTTCTGACCAGACTGGCTATTAATCACCTTTTACAAACACTTAATTCTTCAATGTATTGTTTCACTCCTTTATACAACGTGTTTTAAAGATTGTTTTCTCATCCTGGTTTTCATTAGAATGAATTTTTCTTCAAATAACTCCCACTGCTTTTCAGTATGCATTGTCACCATTGCTGTCAGCATTCAGCCTCCTTGATGGTTTGTTCTAATGTTCATTTTCTGAACTCCTTAGTACTTAGCTTCTACTTCTCTTGTAGCATTAACTCTACTACTTTTCCTTCAATTACTCACATGCCAACCTTTTGTCTTAACTAATGCAAGTTTCTCTCTTGCTACAAAAGTTTCTCTTACCAGGAGAGTATTGTGCTTATTTAATTGTACCTTTTAAACCAAAAATTGGCTGGGGAAGTAGCTTAGCTTAGGGTATTCTGGGCCCTGGATTTTACCCCCAGCACTGTACAAACCAAACCAAAACAACAACCCTGAATTGGTTAGCATAATGCTCACTAGCATAATGCAAAGCTTTTTTTTTTTTTTAAAGATAAAGATGGGTGTTAGATATGATTTGGTGTATGGATTGGGTTATAAAGGCTGCCCAGATTGCAAACTAGTTTAGAACCAAAGGCCCTTGAAAATCTCTTAGGGAGGTACCATGTTTGCTGTGAAAATAGTAGTTCTAAAACAATTGGACATTGTCTGGTTTTCCTCTTGCTTTGTGAAGAACTGCTGCTTTTTTCTTTCTGTGAACCCAGATGAAGTAGTTTTGCATTTACTTTGTCACAATTTGTAAAAAAACACACAACTAATATTAGAAGCACTCATAGTGAGGGATTGCCTATATTCTGAAAGGTATATGTGAACTAAGGAACTCAAGACCAGCTAAGTGAGCAATATTTAAATTAGTTATCTTTGTCTTACAGCACAAAGAGATGAAGTCAAAGTAAATTCATGAAGAGACTGTGTTCCTTATAATTAGGGAAAGAGAATATGTGTATATTTAAATTGTGTGATTCTTCAATGTCTAGAAGGCTGCTACAAATATTTTTTTATGATTAACACTTTAAATATGGATGGAATTGCTTATGTTGTCTTATTTTAGATTTTTTTAGTTTCCTTTGCAACTGTAGTATATTAAGCTTCACTGTTAGAAGACTGGCTTTACTATCTTTAGTAATTACTTTGTCTAGTAACAACTACTAACAGTATCTTTTGCATTAGTTACTGAAGAAATTTTGTACTTTATTTAGAGGAAAACTCAGCTTTGTCTGAATTACTGTTTCTTGATAGAAGTGTCTTCTAGCCAGAAAGTAGTGGGGGTTGGTTGGTTTGTTTTTTTTTGTGTGTGTGTGTTTGTGTTTTTTGGGGGGGAGAATAGTTGGGTTAGCCAGAAGGAAAATTACTCTTAGTTGCTGTCTTGCATTTTGAAATACAAGGTGACTGAACAGGGTTCATACTTGGGAAAGCAGTAAACTACATATTTATTGATAAAAGGCAATAGATTGGATTATTCGTTTTGCTACCCGAAATAAAGCTTTAGAACACCAGGAATCTGATTCCCCTGGCATATTTTACATGTAAAATCTCTCTAATTTTAGAATTAGAAGGGCATGGTAGCCAGTGATGTAAACACTTAAGTTGTCTGCCATCACAAAATTCAATTCCATAGGAAACCAGATCTCATTAGCTTGCATCATGGCACTGTCTATGTAGAATAATTTGTCTATTCAGGGATAGCAATTATTTTGGGGGCAGCAGTATAAGTTTTGGATTTTAAAACTTGTGCAGCCCATTCCATCATACCAACAGAAATTAAATATGACAATTTCCAGTTAAACACAGTGTTTGTTACTTTGGATTGAAATATAAGAACAGAACTTTGCCCAAAAATAAGTACTTTATCCTATGCCACTGAATCATGCCTGTAATCCTAGCTACTGTGGCAGCTGAGATCCAGAGGATCGAGTGACTGAACAGAAAAGTCTAGAGACTACATCTCAAAAATAACCACAAAATGCTTCGTGAGAGGTGTGGCACAAATGGTAGAGCACCAACCCAGCATGCATCTGAGCCAGCTTGAGGCCCTGAATACAAAGCCTGGTACTTTGTTTTGTTAACTGTCAAACAAATTTGAAAATCCTATTTTGTGTGTGTGTGTGTGTGTGTGCATTTGTGTGTGTACACATGTGTGCATGTGTGTGTGTATGTGTGTGTGTGTGTGTGTGTAAGCAGGGCCTCATTATATGGCCATGCTAGCCTTAACTCAAGATCCTCTGCCTTTGTTGCTGTTTTTTTAATTGTGAAAATACCATACAGAGGGGTTACAATTACATGGGCAAGGTAATGAGTACATTTCTTATCAAGCATTGTGGCCTCCTCCTTTGTTTCCCCATCCCATCCCTTCCCATCTCCCCCGCCCCCCATCCTCTGCCTTTGTCTCCAGGATTTGCTAGGATTTCAGGTGTGAGCTACGACATCTAGCATCATGTTCTTTATTTTTGCCAGTTTGAAACTTTTAAGTTTG